AAAAGTATCAATAAATTGAATATCATTTCCCACATGTTTGGATATAAGACAGGCATTGTTTTTTATTTTGCCATAGGTTTTTATATCCCCCACTATCGAATTTATATCCACTATCAAACTTTCTTCATCATATCTAATTTCTAACAGTTCTTCTTGGTAAGTTTATCAGCCTCTTCAATATTTGTAATAAAAGGATTTTTCATCTAGTCATATCAAATCCAATTTCAAAAATCTTCAAATCGTTTTTCCATGTCCAATTTAAGTTTGTTGAGGTGGCTACTGAATCTGTCAGTATCCTCTGGAGTTACATCATCTTTTATAGATGATAATTCAGGAAACTGATGAAATTCTCTCTTCAATAGATTATAACATAATAGTTCAAGTTTGTCAATAAATAATGACACAACATTTTGGCAACCTATAAAAGTTTTATTAGCTGCTTGAAGCTGCAAATTGACATCATTAAATCTCTTGAAAATATCTGCCAAATAAAAGGCATCATTCTTTACTGTTTTTAACTGTTGACATAGATTGGTCTCATTATTACTTTCAAAAAATTGCATGACACTATCATATAATGCTACAAAACGAGCCAAAGATGTACCCTTTGACATCCACAAACTTGTGTGTGCAAAAGTAACGTAATAAAATCTTCATTATTGTCCTGGCACAGCTGTTGAAACATTCTGTCATTTTTTGCATTGGATTTGCTCTTGTTTACAATTCGAATTTTTATAGTTAATGATGAATGGAGACTTGTACTTAGATGTTTTCCTACAAGACGTTGTCTGTGCACCATACAGTGAATACATAAAACATTTGGCACTTCTTCCTTCAAATAAGCAACAGATCCACGATAGTGACCTACCACTGATGGTGTTCCATCAGTAGCACATACAACAATATTATTCAAAGGAGTATTATTTTTTGTAAAGTATGATTTCACAGTATTAAATATAGATAATCCTCTTGTATCTGTAATGAGATTTATTGCGAATAGCATTTCTTCTCGTAATGTATTGTTTTCATCAAAATAATGTACATAAGCCATCAAGAAAACATTAATATCTGCAATGGTAGACACGTCCAATTGCAAGGAAAATGAAGAGTTTTGGAGAATACTTATAAGTTTTTTTTTTCAACACTAACTGCCATTTCTTCAATTCATCGCTTTACTGTGCTATCACTCAGGGGCAACATTTTTAAAATTTGAGTTATATCCTGATGCATTACTGTTGAGATAAATTCTTTTATAGATGGTATTATTAAAGTTTCTCCAATATTATAGCTTTTACCACTTTTTGCAATTAATTGTGATATGCGATAAGCAGCAATTAATCCATCTTCATTCGCTACATGTTGTTTCTTAAATGATGCAATGACTGTTGAACAATTTTGAAATTTTTTATATATTTTTTGAAAATATTTAATGGGCTTGTTCTTATCATTTGGACGCTTTGTGGAAAGATGCTCTCGCAATCAACTTGGCTTCATTGCCTCATTGGATAATATTTTATGACACAATAAACACATTGGATGTTGTTTATTTACAACAGATTCTATGAAGCCCATCTTCAGATACTCTGGCAAGTAGCCACAAGCGTATTTCTTTTTTTGAGACATGGTCTCACAATATTTCACGAGATAGCCTGGTATGCCCCCTAGTGGGCATTCTAGCAGCAGCATCATTCCGTGGTATGAATACTAAATTCATAGTAATAATAAATTCCTACTACAAATAAAAATAATATACTGTTATAAATAAATTATACTGTTAATTTAATTAATAGCTGAAAATCATCGCTAGTGATGCCCCTAATGGTCATTCTAGGCATTCTGTGAAAGATTACAGATATACAAACAGTGGGATCAATGGCTTATATACATATAGATATTTTGTTTGAAACTGTAGGCAAACTTACTCTCACAAACCTAACTACATACTGACCAGAGAAAATTACTGACCAGAGAAATTACTGACTATGGCCAGTTTAATGCTAGGCTGTGGTAGCATCATTTAGTTTCACTTACGTAACATGAACTAAACTTATGCACGGATGATATAAATAGTATATTTTCAGAAATTTAAATATAAATACTAAAAAATTTTATGAAAATCTATTTCAAAGTTTTTAAATAGTCAATTAAATTAAAAAAAGGAAAGTGCTTCAGTATTGGACAAAAGCCCTATCGGCCACCATGAAAGCTGGAACACTCACTAGTGGGCAGAAGGATCAGGTTGACTACCACTGATCTACAACATCCTGACTAGTGATTTCTATCTTAATATGATGGGTGAATGGCTTGATAATTTGTAATTGAAGATTTGATATCAGCAGAATGGTGCACTGGCTCATTCCTAGGCAGAAGTGCAACAGTGGTTTAGCATCAACAGTATAAAATCAAGTAATCCTGTTCCATGGCCATGGCATTCCATGGATTTGACCACATTGGATTTTTTCCTGTAGAGGCAAATGAGAAGCCTTTAATGACACAAGATATGCTATGTGCCATCTGTAATACCACTATCTATGTCTTCTTACTGCTACTGATGGCAGTCATGTTGAACAATGTACTATAGCAAAATAAAGATAAGTGTTTTGTATTAATTCATGCAACGTTGGTTTTCATCCTTTACAGTCAGAAATTCTTTGTACATTATGCTAAAGTTTTTTAAATGATTCCTTTCTGTTATTTTTGCATTTTGGAGAGACAGAAAATTTAAATATTATTGGATAAATACTGTACTGTACTATTTACATGCATCTCTTTTCTGAATGAATTTATTTATTTTACTGTAAACATTGCAGCAGAACTAATGCACCATATGCATATACTCATGCAAAACTGGAAAGATCTCTTTTGTACCTGGATAAATGTTATAGTAAACATCTTTACTAATTTATAACAGAACAGCCCAAAACTCAGTTAACAAGAATATTTTATTTTATTATTATAGGACTGCAATTTTCAAACTGCAGACCTATACATTCCCGCTATTGTCTGTCTGTCCTTCATTAATCTTGAGAATTGAGTTAGATGAAAACCGAGATTAAATATGGAAAGCTTAGGGGCCAGAGGTCTCAATTCATTTAAATAAAAATTGTAGCCTAGCATTATGATGTCACAATAATTTTGTTCATTTTTTTCTATGATTTGGTTTCAAACAAATGAGTACACATTACATAGTTTGAATTAATATTTTACAAATATGAAATGAAACAAAGTTTATGATTCATATTTATTTATTTTATGAAACTAGTGAAAACATAATAGAAATTATGCAACAATGAAAGAAATAATAGTGAAGTTTCTGAAGTTAACCTTCCTGCTTGTTGAGTAACTTAAAATCTTTAATTTGAAAGAAACAAGAACAGGAATAATTTATCCAGATTAAGATAATCAAAAAATATAAATAACTAAAAGTTTATAACAATATATTAGAATGCTGTAAATTATTTATTGAACATTGAGGATCTTATCTGAAACATTTTTTTAAAAATTTTGTTAATAGAAACTGTAATAAAATTCTTATTTTAAAAAGATTAACTGAGTTTAGGCTGCCCTGTATAATAAAATATTAATTAAAATTAAACCTGATAGTTTTTTTCAACTTTCACAAATACTATCTATAATTTAATAAAATCTGCTTAAAACAACTTTGTGCAAGTAAAAATTATATTCCTTTTTGATTAATGCAAGATCTTTACAAACAATAAAAACACTAAACGTACTAAAACTGATAATGATATTACAAATTCTAGTCAAGTTTATTCTTTAAATTAAACTCCCTTGAATCATATAATCCATATTTTTATAAAAATGCAAGCATTTCTTTGTTATAGTTGCATTGTAAGCTAGAAATTATTTTTTGTGTAAAATTTCTTTCCTTTTCATTATAATGATAATAGAAAATACAGTAAAGCATTGATTATCCGAATCAGTTGGGGACTGGGGTTGGTCAGAAAATCGATTTTTCAAATAACCAATTATGTACAAAAAAATATATTAACCTATTCCATGTTGAAATTTGTTCAAATCCTGGCGCATCCTTAAGTACCCTCTCATGGTCGCGCCATTACTGCCAGCTAAAACACCAACAAAAATAATATTGGAGTAGCCCAAGACATAGCCAAAGCTTGCAGTACCACAGCACTAGCGGAAATTTAAATTTGCCGAATGGAAAGCTTTCGGTTAATTGATGTTTCAGTTGATCGATATTTGGATAATCGATGCTCTACTGTATACTTAAGAAAAGAAGCTATTTTATTTAAGAACATTACTAAGTTTTTAAAAAGTATTTTTAAGCCTAAAAACAACAATAAATCTACCTTTAAAATAATTATCTTTAATTTTTTAATTAATTACTAAAAGAAAAGTTAAAAATTAGATGTCTCTATTTGCACTTATCATCAAATGATATTTATTATCAAATGAAACTAAAGTTTCATAAGATGAAAAGTTCAAAAATATTTGATTTTGAAAATAAAGCAAGCATGTGTGAAGAATCTACATATAACATCTATATTAAGAATATTAGTTTCTTGTCTAGAAAAATTTATATATACTAGCTGCAAATTTGTTATTGATGAAGTCAATTTAAAGAAATATTTATAAAATAAAATACAAATTAGGAGAAAAGTGTTTTCGATCATGCTGCACACATGGCTAATCTACAGTATTCCCTAAAAGGTTCTTAGCATCATTTTATGACAATATAGAGAAATAATATTTAAATTTATAAATTAATATGACATTAATTTAATTTAGAATTATTTAATTATGTAGATTTTTATTATGATATTAAATTTTATGAAGTTATTTTAATTAATTTAAGATTAGTAAATTTGAAAATGATAATTAATTTTACTTCTAATAGCTTTATTTATATTTATAGCTTTGTCAAAGTTACTGATCATTATTTGTTTGATAACAGATAATACTATTTAATTAAAAATAATCAAGTATTACAATAAATAAATTTTATTTTATTATAATTATAATGTATATAAAGTAAAACATACTTTTCCTTCTAAATTTACAATTTTACATATGAACCAGCCTTGATGAACAAAAGGATCATCATCTTTTTCTTCAGAACTTACTGCAGGATCAATAGCTTGCTTAATTTTTGGTGTCTGAAATCATATTTCAAAAATAAATATTAATTTTAAAACACAATTATTGAAATTATTGCCATTCAACTCATCTGCTTCTCTCAGCAACATACAAAAGAGCAGTTAGCAGAATATGATTTTTCTACTTGCATGTTAACACATCATTTCATTTCAATAAGCACAAGTTCAATAAATTTTATACTACAGTTTATATTATAAACACGAAAAGTTTATAATATGTATAAAACAAAGATTCATAAATAAAGTTTCAATTACAGTTTTAATTAAACAATATTATGTTTAGAATAATAATTTTAAGGAAATCAGATAACTTGTATGGCAAGATTATTTCTTAAAAATAATTTTGCTATCTCTAAATCTACTTTTGAAAAGATATACAAATGGAATATAACTAATATTTTTTAAGATGTCATAACATGCAAATTCTAAATCATATAAACTTCAATGAAGAGTTGTGAATAGGTTTTTTAACAATTCAGAGTATCAACTTCATTAGTGAATTCAGAAAAGATTCCATCAAAAAGCTCATAAATGAAGGAAAGTAGAGCTAATAATAATAATAAAACTGCTGAAAAGTTAACAATACTATTTAAACTCAATAAAGATCACATCAATAATACTATAAAAATATGATATAATTTACAACTTCCTATATGATTTGTGGGAAGAAGTGAATTGTTCCCTCAAAAATAATAGTTGCCATTTGAATATCGGCTCACAAGCATCCAATTTCCTTTAGTAACAGAAAGGGCAAGAATTTGTGGACATCCTCATTGGTCAATCCATTTTGTATATAAGGTGACTCTTCACCTTCAATGAATGTTTTTGATCATGTACAGCCATGCTTCTAGTCATAGGCTATAGTTACTCTTTAGCCCTTTGATTAAGTTCCTGCTTATTTTTGGTGCTCTCACCAAGTACAGGAATGTAAGTCTATGAAAGTCTTCACTGCCATTTCCAAAATGTTACAAGTCCTCACAGTACTTCCACATTATGTACTGTACCAGGTAACGATTTAATAGTATATGTTAACTCTCTAACGTGACATATTTATTTTCCTGTATAGACATTATTATAGTAGTTTAAATAAATATGTTTAATTTCCTATTATATTTTTGTTTATTTGCCTAACTCCATCGTCAAATTATAACATCTTGCATTTAACCACTTGGACAAATTTAAACTAACTAATTCATTTTAATGTGAGTTAGAACGTGATAAACTTTTCTAACTAGTGTCAAAAGCCTGACAGAAAAGGAGAATGAATCTTCCTTTTCAATAAATTTTCCATCCTGTTTAGTTGAGTGAGTGTTTACCACTCTGATCTCACAATTATAAATTTTTTTATTACTTTATTAATTATTGTAAAAAGTCAAAAAAGGCTTAATTTTAAGGGTAGAAATGAGTTTTTAAAAATGCCAATAACAAGTAAACTTTTCATTAAGTTTCACTCCATTCAAGATATGACATGTGACCCTCCTTCCATCTCCCCATCTAAGTTCGGTACTCCAAAATTTAATAGCATCAATGCTCCTTATATACAAGTTACCATACTAAATTTCATTTCTTAACCATCTTTACCTCATCCTGAAATATTAACTGAAATAGACATCAACAACCAACTAACACACAAATCCTCCTTTTTTTTTGGGTTCAGTGGTTTCAAGACACCTAGATTAGCAAAAAACCCAGAAGGTCGAACTTGACATAATTACAATACTTTCCCATGTTATGTTATAACAGCCAAAAAGTAGAAGTGCAAATTTAATGGCTTAAGTTATTTTCTTCTGATTAATAAACTATTAAAAAAAATAAATCAGCAACATTTAAAATTTTTGTGGTGTTGTTATCATATTTTATTTTAAAACTTTTTATATTTTTAACTATTATTAAAATGGAAAAAAGCTTAATTTTGAGGGTAGGGATGAATTTTATAAAAAAAATTGTAAATGCTAACAAGCATTATTTATTGTGACATCATCACAATGCCGGGCTGCAATTTTTAATCATATTTTTAGTTTATTTCATTTAAAATATAGGCTCTCCACTCAAATTAGTAGTGTCTTGCCCCTGTACATCATAGTTTGCCATTAGCAATAGAGTCAAGCTGGACATCTATCTAACTCCTTTCGAGGATAAATTTTTGAAATTGAAATAATGTGACTTCCAGTTTGCATTGGAAGTTCATATATAATTAATCGAGGCCTCCTGCCCCTAAACTTTCCACATCTGGTCTTGTCTTTCATCTAACTCTGTTCTCGCGATTAAGAAATGCCAGACCTGGATAATGGTGGGAATTTATAGGTCTACAATTTTTTCAAACTGCAACCCAATCAATAACAAATAAAATCATCATTAAGTACAACCTTACTGGAAATACACATGATCCCCATTATCTCCCCATCCTTCAACTTTTAACTACCAAAATTTAATAGCATCAATCTCCCAATAAACAAACCTCCCTGCAAAATTTCAGAAATTTTGAACAAAAAGCACATAAGTTATTAAGCTTCAAAGAGGGTGAACAAAATCATGCCCACTACACAGAAATTACCCCCAAATGTTTTTGCATTTCTTGACATTTCAAGCTCCAAGTCCAAAACTGTAAAAATCTGGGAAGGTCATTTTTTTGACCGATTGCCATACTTTTCCTCTTTTATATATAACAGCTGGGAAAGTAAAAATAGTAGAACAACAATTTTAAATAGTTTTGTCTATTTCTTAAAATTATTTTTTGTCATTTTTTTCAATTGTAATAAGTTATATGAGATTCTTATGATAAAATTGGTAATTCCAAAAATAAATTTTTAATATTTAAAAATAGTATATAAACAGACTGCCATGGTGAATTACTGGGTTTAGAATTTCTTCTCTCACTAAATAAATTTGTAACAGTCAAAAGTATTAGTGATGCTCAAAATTCCAAAGAGACCATTAATTTAAATATTAATTAATTGTATTCTTTCATACAGAAAAAGGATGAGGATGCTAAAAATATGTTAATTATGCTTCTTCACAGTTACAGCTTTTCTCAGTATAAAAAAGAAATAAAATTAACTCAATAAAAGAAATGTACAGTCAAACTAAAACACTCAACTTTTTTAACAGCAAAAAGTTTTTAGTAATTAACATTTTTGGTCTTATTGAAAGACTATCTTCAGGTTTACCATGATTCCATCAAACATTGTAAATCTTGTGTATTAATCATTACATTTACAATGTAATTTTATAGACCTGAAGATGGTCATTTTATAGATGGTCATAGATGGAAGATGGGATTTTATTCAATAAGAATAAAAACATTAATTATTAAAAAGTTTTTGCTGCTTAAAAAAAGGTTGTGAGTGTCTTTGTTGCTACTTAGGAAATTTTTTTTATATTTGGAGTAAGTCAAAAATTACATGCAGTGTAATTTCTATTACTATATTATAATTTCTTTTACTGCATATGTGCAATTAGATGTTATTTCTTAGTCACCTGATACAAATTTACTAAGTCAGTTATCTTGTTGGTATGCTATTAACTATATCTATTGCTCCTCTTTCCAACTGTAAAAAGAAGAGCAATAAATACAGTTAACAACATACCAACAGCCTAAAAAACCAGCTTGCTACTCTTTCCAAGAGTAGCAAGTTGGTTTTTTATAGGCTGAGAATATATGAGGGGCCAAAAATTCATCAAAGTGCAATACAGGAATATTGTTTAGATATAGGCAGTGGTGATATTCAGCGAGTTCGCACAGGTTCGGCCAAACCCGTTGTTAACATTTTCAAAGATTTCCAAACCTTGTTAAATACACGTAACATTTCTCAAAAATGTTAGTTGAGTGGTTTAGTTTCTTTTAAAAAATATATCCATATATATAATCGAGACGGGTTGATAATAATAATAATAATAATGATAATCAGCGCAGAGCCCAAATGGTTAGGAATTGAAAGTTGAAATTTGGAACACAGTTAGGGTACGTCATGAGAATGCACACTAAGAAGGGATTTTTTGAAATTTCCCCAGGGGAGAGGGAAAGGATTAAGGCTTTGACAATGGAAGTGTTAAGTAACAATGGAAGTATCAACAATGGAAGTATTAAGAGAAAACAATGGGTAACATTTATAGACGCAGATGCAGTTTTTTTGTTTTTGCGAGAAATCTAACATTTTTTAACCCATCTAAAAATTCTCTAATAGGTCTGGAAACAGGGAGACCTAATTCTTGCATTCTTTGAAAACGGATAAGATTGACTATAACGTAATAATCTTAATCTTCGCTATTGTTACTTTTTGCCCGAGCAATGCCTGGCCTATCTGCTACTTAAAATATACATATCATATTCTGTAACACTACTAAAATAGAGCATTTTACCCCGTTCGCCTTGGAGCGCCCTCCTTCGACTGTTTCAATCTCGACTGAAACGAGGTTCAATCACAATCGACTCAAGAGAGTTCTTGAAACTAGATCCAGTCATAAGAGAGATCCCACAATCCCACACGCGCAAGAAAATACAAATGGTTGCGGAACACATGTTGGGCTATCGACAGCGAAATAAAAAAAGATATTGTATTTCAAGAGATGATGACATTTGTCTATTATTAGATATATCGCAAGAAAAAGTATTGTATTTATTCCTAACCAAAACTTCCATTATTTATAAAAAAATACAGTTCTGGCATAAACAATGTTAAATTTTAACTGACTTAATTTTGCGAATACATCTTTTTTATTTATATGGGTATCTTAAGGTCAATTTTTGCACTAATGTTGCTAATGTACCATTTGAGCAAAAAAAATTGTTAAGGAAAAATTTTCTGTTAGCGAACCCTTTGTTAAATATTTCGAATATCACCACTGGATATAGGAAATGTCTATTCTCATAAATAGTTGCACAAATGTCATTATCAACTTTACATGACCTGAAGTAAGTGATTTGTGCATTGCTCATCTCTTAACCAAAAACTTTTTTCTAGAATTAAGGAATTTGAGTAACAATGACTGAGTGCATTGAAAAATTATTCTTGTAAGAATCATTATGGCATTATAATAAATTTTATAATTACATTGCATATAATTATTGACTTACTCTCATAATTAGTTTTTCTTTTCACTGTATCAAACATTCTCAAAATATAAAATATTTTCTATTGTTAAGTAGAAAAATGCATTGTATTTACCTTTTCTCCAAAGAATGCTTTTAATTTTTTGATTCTTTGTTCAGTTGGTGTTCTGCAGAATGTAATTTTAAAATATTTAGAATAAGTTAAAAAAATTCAAATAGTTTAAATTATTAAAACATGTAACAACAAAATTGGAATACAAACTAACAATTTATTAGCAAAATATATTAAACATTATTAAATAATATAAAATTGCATTTAATTCATAATTGTTATAATTGTATTTTTATAATATTTATAGAATAATTCCCAAAAGTACATTTTTTTGCAATAAAAATAAGAAATTTGTTTGAAAAATTTCATACTAGATAAATGAATCATTTGCTTTATTGGCTTATCAGTGAGAACTGATAATTTCAAGAGACTCAAAACATATCAGAAGTAGCACTTAGATTCTTTTACAATGAAATGAGAACAGATTCTATTGATGATTATACAAAAGTCTGAATAACTACTATACAGTGAGAAGTTTGTAATGACATTAAAATTATACATATGGTATTGTATATGAGACCTGTAAGTTGTTCATTCTATACCTGCTGACCAGTTATACGTACAGCATTGCATACAACTTATAGGTCTCATATGCACTACCGTATGTATAACTTTAATGTCTTTACAAATTTCTCACTGCACAGTAACTTTTTGGACACCCTGTAGAACTAGATACTTATGGAATAAATAATAAGTTTGGTAATAATTTAATATTTGTCACTTTACTGGAAATGTCTTATGTCATCTCAGCACACTATATAGAAAAATTTAGTCTGAGGTCAAATAAGTTTATAAAAATTTAGTTCTAATATAATGATATTTTGAAAACTTTAACCTAGATGCCAAATATATTTATTACTAAACAAACTACACTTCTTTTTGTTCAATGTAAATGGGGAATTCAGTCACTACAGCTGATTAAAATTGATTAAACATTCTTTCAGATTTAAATGAATACATATCTATGAAAACAATAAATACTAGTAATAGTACTGTAATTTCCTGCCTAAAATCTGCAAGGATAATTCTCTGTTGATAAAATAGCTTACCAACATGCTGGAAAACAAATACCATCATGATGCAACTTATACAAACTTTTTATAATTAAAAATAAATATTCTCAAATCAAGGAAAAAAATTAAACAATTCATTTGGAAGTGGTACAATAAAAGTTTAAATCCAGAACTGAAGCAGCAAGATCAAGAATGGGAATTGTCATGGTTTTGTATTTTAAACTAAAACACAAAAAATTTCAGTTGTGTTATTGCTATTGGAAATAAAACTTGGTTTAAACACCAACTTCCTAGATCTGCCCAGTAGCAGTTTCAGACCAAGACATTCTCTTTCAGAAATGAAAATTGCTATTTTTGTCTCCTGTCGTCACAAGAAATTTGATTATGATTGGATAGCATTCATGTGTAGATGTTATTAATGCAACAAAGACAATATTTGTCTAGACAACTGGACAAAAGAAAAGAATAATGTAAAATCAAATAATATTTTAGAGTTATATTCTGATCAGGAGTTTCAAATTTAATAAATATTTTCCAAGTCTGGATTCATGTTTATTTTGAACTGAACTAAATAAAAAATCAAGCATTTGAAGGAAGAAGGTCAATTATTAACTGTGGAACAAGTTATCTATTGAATGTTTGACAATTTAAAATGGAATCAAAATAACCCAAAGTTATTAGACTAAAAATGTTTACTACTTGAGAAAACCTATAAAATAATTATTTTAAAAAAATAACATTGATTTTACTGTTTGTAACCATTATTGAAGAGTAATTATAAATTAAATTATTAATATTCTGACAAGATACAAATGTGTTGCTTTTTGTTGAAGTTGCCTAAGGCAGACAGTTAAGCTAATTGAACAATAAATAAATTAGTAAAGAAAACAACCACCCAAACTGAGTATAGAGAAGAATAAGAGGCCTTCTGTTTATAAAATATCAACAATGAAAATGATCTGAATCATCACTAATTGTGATTTTTATCATTTAGAACAAGCATGAACTAATTTTTTTCTTTCATGTGTGCATAATATGAATAAACACAAAATTAAGACAATGACCTATTGTTTCAAATTTACAAATCCTATTTTTAAATTTTCTATTTGATAAAATATACTGTATTTTGGGGAATGACTGGCATGCTGGTCTATCCAGGGAGACTATGAAATCAGATATTTCTGTAAGGTAAAAACCAGCATGTTGGTTTATCCCAAGAAATGTTGGCATGCCAGGTTATAGATCTTTCTCTATAGGGTGCATAAAAAAAAGAACAAGTTTTTATTCAAAACTGTAAAACTGTCAGCATTATATCAAAAACTACATTATATATTTAATTTTTTTCATTTTGTCTTATTTCTAATGACATAAAACACTCTTGGAATTCTGAAAGTGATTTTTTTGTGTATTTTATTGTTATTTGATTCAAAAATGCAAAAAATAAACATACTAAATTTAGGAAAATCACTGCAAATTATCTCAGCTTACCCCCACTATCATTGGCTTTGTGTGAAATTTGATGTCAACAAGTTGTTTTGTGAATGAAAACTCTCTTCTTGATTTTAAATCAGTCAAACTACAATGCTATTATTTTATTGTACTCAGAAAAATGTTTTCTTTAACATTTAATTAACAACAGTTTAACCAGCATGCCAGAAACCCTGGGGTTACTTGCATGCTGGTCTCCCATTTATATGCAGCATGCCAGTCATTCTGCAAAGCTATAATAATTTGTTTATAACTTATAAATTATACATAACTATTTATCTTCAATAATAAATAGTTGAATAAAATTTTAAATATTCATAATAAATATTCACACACAGACTGTCATTTTTGTGAATGAAAAGAAACCCAACTGGTTCACCAATATCGAAAAGCTGGGAGTAACAGTGGTAAACATAATAGCTAAAGTTACTCCAAACATCAGTTAGACCACATTCAAAGATCACCGATTCATGTCTTTCAAACAAAGCTTAAACTGTGGCATAACAAGCATGTTGCCAGATGCCATTTTTACTCAAACTGGATTTAGAAAAAACCTTATCTGTGCAATCAGCCCTATAAGTTTAGACCCTAGTCTTGTCCATTTTATCCATTTTATTTGGATCTAAACATAATATTTGTACAATTGTAAAATTTATCTTAATTACATCCAGTGGCAAATCTTTAATTATAGGTCTTAGTTACTGGTGAAAACATAGCTGATATTATACAATCTTTATTATATAACTTTGTTTATTATTTATTAAATCAATATTTGCGATTCAATTATAATTAAAATAACCATTTACTATATATTTAACAAACCCAGAGCTCTCTGTTACTCCTTCATCATCACTAAAATCAGAGTCAATATGTATACGATCTCTTGCAGTTGCACGTAAATAAGATATGCGACGTACGATATGATGATCATCTCTATCTCCAGCTGAAATATATAAAAATTGTTTTCATATTAGGGCTTTAAAAACCACATAAATATATAAATTAAAATAAATTTTTGTTATAGTTAGAAATTTTAATCATAAGAAAAGACAAGAAAATTTTTAAAAAATTATATTTTTGCCATCAGTATTTTTTCTTGTCCTTCCTTTTACAGTGAAATATAAAATCAACTAATAAAATCCTTTCTTGTCATAATAAGTATTTAATATAACAATTATTAAGTTTCAAGATTATCATTGAATGTGCTAGGATTTTTCAATAAAAAATTAAATTTCAACTTTTATATATCACCCTTCCAAAGATTAAAAATTTCCCCAAAGCACTCCAAGCAAGTACTCATAAAATCTATGCTCAAAATTAAATGAACTCATGCTCACAAGTACAGAAGATCCTGCTAAGCTGAGTGATGTTGAGATTCAGAAACTGTGTATACATAATACAATATACATTCAAGTAAAATTCAGTTGTCAATATAAACAAAATCCAATGCAAACAGCAAGCATCATGGTCAGGTTTTTCATGATTTTTTCCCCTCTGTTTTGTGCTAGCACACAAACATTACAGTTTCTGTCCTCAATGTGTATTATACATTAAAACTTACTTTGTTTTAAACCCTACATGACCTTTGTATTAATGAAACAAAGATAAATCTAAATATATAAAATTACTTGTCCTGACTGACTGACTGATTCATCATCACCCAGAGCAAAACGCTGAATCTAAACAGGTGAAATTTGGTACACAGTTAGAGTACATCATGAAAACGCACACTAAGAAGGGATTTTGGAAATTCCCCCATGGGGGAAAGAGAGAGGCTTTCCCCATGGGGAAATTTCCTCCATGCTTAACCTGAAGAACAGCTTCTACTGTACTATTTTAGATGTGATTTTTTGTTTTCAACTACATTTAGCCTTCATTGAGTACTTAGGTATATTAAATTGATAGCATTTCAGACATTGTTATAAATATTTTTATATATTTTGATTTTTTAACCAAATGTTTGAACCATTTTAAATTTGAATTTGTTATTGCATATTGGTTCAATTATAGAATGATTGATCAAATTTTTGGAACGTTTAAAAACTGAAAACAGTTTGTTTGATTCTTAGCAATTCTCATCATTCTCAACGGTAGGTGTTTTATAACAATTACTGTGGTTGTTGAAATACTGAATATAAATGGTGTTTGCTTGTAAAATCCATGTGGGTGAAATCATGGGTAACAGCTAGTCCTTAATATACCCATTTATGTAACTTTCATATGAAACCTGTAGTAGAGATTTTAGGTCCTTTAGGGAACCAATGTTATACCATTTACAAAACAATTACTAATTTTTCCATGTAGAAGACCTCTGTTTCTCCCCTATTCCACCCCCACTTAAGTTATGTCTCCCACAAATATTGAAGTATAGATAAAATAGTGCCCAAAATAATAATTTTAACTTCATCTTCCATAGTTTTTTTTTTAACTCTTTCCACCCTGTGGACACTAAGAGGGCCTCTTTTTGCAAGCCCATTATGGGTTCAGCCAGGCCCACAATGGGGATGCTGAGTGGTGAGGGACGGGGCCCGACAAATCCAAACAGACCACCCCCCGAAAAATTCCTGGGGATTTTTCGACCCATTCGGATTCAAACCCAGGTCACCCAGAGAAGTACCTTGACCTTGCCACCTTGACCGCTCGACCATCCGGCTGCTATCTTCTACAGTATTAGATAAAGTCAAGATTAGTATTTTTGATAATTGTATGACACAGAAATAACACTATGTTATGAACTATATTCACAGTTATGATTAAAATTTGTGTTATCAGATATATATCAAAATAATATCCATTGACAAAAAAAATGATATTTACAGACTTTGTTATAATGATCACTTTCTTTTATAAAAGGTTGAAATTTTATTATATTAACTGAAATTTTTGTTACTGTGATAATTGTTGTTCTGAAATATTTTTACATTAATAATTACTAGTTATCATAAGTATTTTTTCATTAAGATACATTAAGATTATATTATATTATTACATTTTTACATTTATTAGTGAATTGGTAGGAGACTGAAAATAAATTAACTATACTGGTATTTTCATTACAATGAAATTTTACTGTATTTATTAATAAATGTATATTGCTGTATTAATCCAAGTTTAAAATTGAAAATCTCTCATATCTTATACAATATTATAAATAAAAATAATCTAGTCAGAATCATAGCTGCTTTATTTAATATCATAATGATGTTGTATAGTACTATTTTGGTTAATACTGCATTTGCTAGGAATGCATTTTAAGTACTAATCAAGATATTACTCTCTTCTTTTAGAAAATATTTTATATTATTCTTCTGAATATTTGTTTTGCTAAATCAAATTAATATTTTTTTGTAATAAATATCATAAAAATCATACACACATTAATCTATTTTTCAGTTGTTTACAATGCAAAATTTGTTTAAAATGATCATTATGCAATATGCAATATAGAGTGGCATCTTGGTACTCAAACTGTACTCAACTTGAACAAGTTGGTATTCGAACACATATTAGTAGGGGGGAATCACTCTGTAAACATCCATTTGCTCAGCACTCAGACAAACAAAGATGAATTGCTAGAATTAATTTTCAAGTTAATTATAAATGTTTTTATTTTAACTTTAATTTTGCCATACATAAAAAAGTTTCTATGATAAAAATGAGTAACTAATTTAAAAGTAGTTGCCTATCTTTGTATTATTGCTAAAATTAATAAGTGTACTTTGCCACTCTGTATTGCATATGGGTATTTCCAGCCAAAGCAAAAAAAAAAAAAGTCAGTCTTGCAAACAATAACATCTCCTTTCTGCTTCACCCTCCTCACCACCTTCTATATATGTGTGAAAATTTGATGGGCAGATTGCCCTCTAATCATCAAGTCATGAGACTCACTCACAGTGTGACTGGATGGCTTAGAATATAGGAGGGTCTTAAATGTGAGTGGGGAGGAGTTGCAGGCAAGTTCCGATATTAGTGGAGTGAATGTCCATACTTAAATAACTGAGGGAATCAACACGTTAACAATAACAATAAAAAATTTAATGTATAAAATTAACACAAAGAGATACATAAATCAAGACACTTAATATAACCTATCGCAAATTGAACCTCTAAATCTAAGATACACCTTGAAATAAAATAAAAGAGAGAGTTTGCAATCGATAAAAATAATGATAATACCTCAGTAGATCAAACTTTGAGAATGCAAGATGAATGCAGGGCTATCTTCTGTTGCTATTCGTATGGCAGCTTCCTTCTGGTAATGAACTGTGGCTAATATGGCAAGTTTTCTTCGTGGACTGCCGTCAATTATGGCAATATCAGGTTTCTATTGACTGCCACAAACTTGTGAATTTTTCCCCTATTTATTCTCAGTTCTCACCAATCAGACTATAGGATTCCGATCGTCTGACTGGACACATATCTGACGCAAGAGACAGATGTGCTTCAGATAAATTAGATAAGAATGTTCTAAGGAAAGTTCTACTTCCCTTTCCCACACAATACATAGATTAGTAATTTGAACACAAATGAATTATTGTATTTATTCAGACAGTTGGCAAATCTCATCATTAAAGTTTATTCAGTTGATTAATTTGCCAAGTGTCTGAATAAATACAATAATTGATTTGTGTTCGAATTACTAAAAATTACTGGCACGGTTTCAAAAATACCAGAATATTACATAGATATTATTTATCATGTGGGAAATCTAAGACTGTAGTAAATAAGATGAATAAATTATCAAATAAAATGGTTCTCTGCTTTCGCATTCTCACATATGCCATCAACTTTCTAAAGTTAAAAGAAAGTAAGAATAAATTTGCATTTATTTCATCTATTAATTGTGTTTAAGGTTTTTTTAAAATGATTTATGCATGTTGGGATTGTAAACTTCTTGTTAAAATGGTGTTAAACTCTAGTTAAAATGCTTTTAAAAGTGTCTTTTCGGGAGGTCTGGAATGAATTAATCTAATTTACATAATTCCTTATGGAAAAAATTCACTCATTACTGGAACAGATTGGCACTCAAACAACCTGCAATGAATTAAGTTTGAGTACCAAGGTACTGCTATATTATATTTCTATACATGCATAGAAAAATTTTTGATATATTTAATTCAACACAAAAAAATTTTTTTCTATTTAAACCCTTAAATATCACCTAAAAAGTTTTTCCTTTCTATTAAATTACTTTGTAAAGTTATTTTAAAAATTTACAATTATAATTTTTTACATTATCTACTGTATAATTTATTATGATAATGATAAAACTTACATGGAATTGTTTTTCTTCTATATACAACTCCTGACGATGCAGTAGGAGATGTTACATTAGTAGTAGTAACAGTTGTAGTATTAACAGAAACAGATGCAACTGCTGGCACTACACATAGTAAAAAATAATTATATGAAGTTCATTTTTAATTTTATAATATCAAAAGTAACAATTTATATATAATAAGTAAAAATATAATAATTGCAAAGCTTAATTGCCAAACAATTTAAGCTTTTAAAATTTGTGAACATAATTCAGTATATTCCAATAACTAAGCAAGCTAATAACTCTTTCCTATAAACTTGTTCATATAATATTTGCAGTAATAAAGCAAACAGCAACATTAAAGTTTGCTAAAATTTTGGTAAAATTACAAATGTTGTTCAAATAAACCATATAAAATAAATGATGTCACTGGTCACCATAGCAGAATTAGAGTCTATACAGCATAATGACAAAGTTGTGTTTGCTACTATAAGGTCCTAATTACCTCCTGTGTTCAGATGTGTCCCAATGTGGTACAAGTTTGTGTATATCCTCCACAAAGAAAGAGGAAGGCTGCCAGATGACCATTCAGTTAGAGCTGCTCAAACTTTACAACCTTTCAGAAATTTCCTTAAAAGTCCAATCTGAAGATACGGAAGTAGCAAGATGATGTATTGGGACTTTAAGGTGGATGCACCAACAGTTTGGATGGGAAGTTCTGCAGCATCTATACATACATACATACATACATACATACATACATACATGAAAAACATCAGTGGTACATGAAGTGTTTAGCCAGCAAAAAAGAGGGTAAGGGAAAGGGGATGGGAAGGAGGGAGAGGAGATAAACAGTAGAAAAAAGGTAGGATCCCTCTGAATGGCATACATAAGGCTACAGTACCTTCTATGTTTGATATTGTTCTGCAACATCTGTCTTACAGCCTCAATATGTTGCCTTGATACTTCCATGTTTTTAGACCTTTAAAAAAATTTATCAAGTTCTCAGAATCCAGTCTGACAACAAAGTCTGAACAGCTGTAAATGAATAGCTCATCCAGTAGCCTTCCTCTTTCTTTGTGGAGAGTATACACAAACATTTATCTTGTTGGGGCATGTCTGAGTGCAGGAGGTGATTTCCAATAGCAGCTAATGCAACTTTGTCATTAAGTTGTATACACAATCCTACTATGGTGACCAGTGACATAATATGTTTTATAAAATCCTGTCTATGATTCATTTGAGAAACCCTTATATTATACAATTATAAAATCTGTCTCTGAATTCTGATAATTGTCTAAAAAGAAAGATCTGTTGGAGTAGAGTCTATTTTGCCATTTAAAAAATTTTTATTCATCTATATGTGAACTTTAATATTAATTAAACTATTGTACAAGAATCATGAACATGGTAGTATCTTACCATGTTCATGATTCTTGTACAATAGTTGTAATAAAACTATCACATGTGTGTGATAGTTGTAATAAAACTATAACACATGCAATATACAGTCAAACTTGCATTAATAAAAATCACTAGGAAGACCAGTATTTAGTTTGCTTTATTGAAAAATTAATATTAACAATTTTTTGGGTCAAGGTTGTATAATTTATGAAGTTAAGGGTTAATAAGCAATCAAAATCTGTAAATTATATTTTTAATTAATTTAATAAATACAGTTAAACAAAATTAAATTTATTTACAAAAATAAATTAATGATCTAAATGATTTTCAAATCAAATAAAATGAAGAGATGGTATTCAAGTGTGGAGCAGTGTGTCAAAGTGGCTAACCAAAACAAAGCTAAATGAAATCTATAATTTTTTCTGTTGAAGATTGTTTGAAAAAGTAGAAAATATTTTTGGTGCCAAGAGAGTAACAAAGGAGGCAGATTTGGCACAAAGCAGCCAAACCTGGCACCACTATATACACCCCTGATATGCACACTAGCAAGTGTTTGGATAGGACTCCATCCATTTAAAGGGGTGGAGTCATTAAATTGCAACCCCTATTTTCTTAGTACAGTAGAATGGTCTGCTAAAACCAGATGTTCGAATTACTCTATAATCAGAGATCAAACCATCTTTGCTTACTAGGAGAAGAAAAATCTATTCTACTCAAAATGGAACATTCTACAGTACTGTACCACTTTTTATTGTTCCCATTGAAAAGTGTAAAAAGTAACCGTTGGTTACTATTGGAAATGGGGTTATTTCTTGGGGATTGTGAAGGTAATTTACAGTTCTGTTTAACAAATTCTGGTAAAATTTTTGTTTACTTTATCACATAAAAATTAATGTGACAATGGTGTTTTGCCAGGGTAATGGAAAATTTGCTTTATCTGTGTTTGTTTTAAGGCAAGTCAACTGTATTTGTATTTTTGGGATGTACCTCAAGAAAAATTATTGGAAACTATCAGTGCATAGCTGGAAAGTTTGGAAAACAATGATATAAATTATTCTAAATTAATGCTCAGAAGAAGAGATTAGAATAGAGATCTGGATTGCATAATTGATAACATACCTATGTAACTCTACTTTCTAAATTGCAATAACTATAAATTTATAGTAAATCATAAAATTATAATGTCAATAAATTGGACAGTAATTTGTTTATAATTAAATGTAATTTAGATTCCTTTTTGTTAAATGCATATACCTAACAAATAGCCAAATTCTTTATCAAGCTGTAAGGCCAAATAATTACTAAGCAATATGGCATGAGACAAGTCACCAGGCTGCCACTTCTTATTAAATGTAATAATTAGCCTTATAGCCCAATAAAGAATCTGGCTGTTCATTGGGTATTTGAAATAATTATTGTGTTAGTTGTATCTGTTATATATAAACACATATTACATAATGAAACATCTTTATATTTTTTCTTTGAAATCAAAGTATCTACTTGAATATTAAATAATTAAAAAAATCCTAGAAAATAGTTTAAGGAAATGAAAAAAATAAATGCTTTTTACATAATAACTCAAAAATTTTTTTTATAAACCAACAATAAATTCTCATGAAAGTCATCACTATATGACAACTATATATTTATATGGTGATAAAGTTACTGGAATTTTTCAATATATATAATTCCTTTAAAATAAATTAATAAAAAATTAACCAAAAATTAATTTAAATTATTTTTATTGTAAAATGTAAAAAAATTATCTAAAAGACTAGATTTCAGTGAAATCTAAATATTTAAATTTTAAAATAATCTCACAAGGAGACCCTACGGCTTTGGGGAAACAGATTTTGATGATCTTTGGTGGAGGTAGTACACCATGTGAGTGTACTACCTGTAAAATACTGAAGTGCAAACTTAAATATAATCGAGGAAAACATACTTAAAGTTTTCTTTAGCACTTTATATACAAGTTATGTGTACTTCCGCTTGAGCGTGCTGTGATGTGAGTGGTAACGCTCCTGACTCGTACGCTTGCATGCTTGGGTTCAATTCTCTTCTTGTGTATACTTTTTTTTCCTTTTTTTAAATTCATAAATACTTATAATGCATTTATTTATTTACTCATTCATTTATTATTTATTGATTTTTTTAGTATTTTTTTTATTATTTATTTATTTTAATTTAATTTCTACTATTCTAAGTCTAATATTTTTACATTGAAAACCCACCTTTGTCAAGTTGAGAGGGTGCTAATTATGCTGCGTTTGAACTTGGGTCTAGAGCAGTGTTTCTCAACCTCTAACAAATCATTGCCCCCTTCAAGAAAACTATTACATAGTATCGTCCCCTTCACTTCAAAATTCCGATGCCGAGGCCAAAACTAACACCAAATTCGTATTGCATTGAATAGACTAGTGACTATATAATGTTATTTGTTTAATTATTGTATGATATAATGAATAAAATATTTAATTATTCTTAATATAATGTTTTACCATATGACCCAGAAAATTGTTTTTGCCCCCGAAAATATAAATTGTTACTGATCGCCTCTTCAACATGGAAAAACGCCCACATGGGGGCGATATTGCCCCCATTGAGAAACACTGGTCTAGAGTCTTTTTCACTCATTCTAACAGTTCATTTCTGAATTTCGACACGAATAGATGTATGTGTGCAGTGAAATTTATTTTGAAAAATTATTTTATAATTAAATAATGTCATCAAGTGAAGAAAGTTCTTCATGTTGTGACAAAAAGCTGTTGATGATAACTTTTTATACAGTGATGTATCGAAGCAGTGGCTAAAAGATGGAGTAGTGTATTATGAGAGTTTACTTTTCAAATATAATTTAATTGCAATAACATCTTCTAATACACTATCTGAAGATGCTATGCTGATAGGCACAGAATTATACAATAATACATTGGTTGTGTTGAATAAAGAAAACTTTATAATTGATGACAAATTGATTTATGCCCAAGAAGAGTGTACAGAAGGAAATTTTGAAGCAGTTAAAGATGATTCATCTGATGACTATGTACCTGATGAAAAAAATATAGAATGAAGGAATATATTTCACTGGAATATAAAATCAAAGTTTTAAAAGCAGCAAAAGCCCACCCTGCATGTAAACTTTAAATACTACAAAAAAAAAAAAAAAACGGATGTAGTCATTTGAAAAGAATGGTTCATTTAAAATTATGGGAAAAAAATGTTGAACATGGTGGAACTATTTTTGATAAATATCATTTGATTGATTCTTGGATGTATGACCACTGTGTCGAAGTGAGACAAAATTATAAACAAGTGACCACAAGAAATTTACAGCAATGGGCTTTAGCTACTACTAGTCAGTTTCCTGATTTGCAATTTAAAGCATCAAACCAGTGGGTGGATAAATTCAAATGAAGACACCACATTTGTCAATGAAAGATTACCAAATTTGTATCACAAAAAGAAGCATGTACCATGGAAGATATCTTGGACTCTGCAGAAACATTTCATATTCAAACAAAATGATTGATATCAATCTTTGATAGTGACTTCATCATCAATACAGATCAAACAGGTATATAAAATTTTAAACTATAAACCAAGTACTTTATATTCCATTATTATATTTAATCAAAGTAAACCATAATACTTATCATAATTTTGTTACGTTTTCAGGATGTCAATACCAATCAAATTTCAACAGAATATTAATGGAA